ATACTATTGCATTGTGTGTATGAACTACAGCTTGTTTCTCATCCACTGGTGGGCACTTAGGGTGTTTCCAGCTCTTTGCTGTTGTGAATAATGCTGTAGTGACCAGGGGTATGGACGTATCTCCTCACGTCACGGCTCTTATTTCTCTGGGGGTTATGCCTGGGCGTGGGATTGTGGGATCATATGGTTTTTCCATTTCTAGCTTTTCAAGGACGTGCCATACCATTCTTCATAGCGCTCATACCATTTTATATCCCCGCTGGCCGTGTGTGAGACTTCCAGTCTCCTCACAACCTATCAACATCTGTTATTTCCTGTTTTTCTTTTCAACAGCGTCATTACTGCTGGGGTGAGTTGAAATCTCATTGTAGTTTTGATTTGCATCTTCCTAATGACTAGTCCTGGCATGGCGCTGTCGGTTAATGTGCCAGACTGAAAGCCATTTGAACTTCAAGGTCAGTGGTTCAAGCTCACCAGCTGCTCCTCGGAGACCCTATACAGGAACCAACTCGATGGTACTTAACACCAACAATGACTAATGATTGCGAGAATTATTTCATGTGTTTCTTAGCTGCCAAAGCTGTCTTCTGTGGTGAAATGTCTTTTCAGTCCCTCCGACCATTTTTCAGTTGGATTTCTTTGTCTTTTTGTTGTTGAAGTGTTGAGGTTTTCCATACATTTTGCAGAGTAGTCCTTTGTTGGATCTGTCATTGCCAAAAATGTTTTCCTATCTGTATGTTCTCCTTTTACTTTTGGGAGAAGTCTTTTGATGCTTGTAAGTATCTAACTTTTAGGAGGTCCCAGTCATGCAGTTTGCCTTTTGCTGTTTGTGTATTTTCAGTTATGTTTGATAGTCTTACCTATACCAGAAATTAGGACCTCTACGTTTGCCCATATATATATATTTTTTACATTTAGGTCTTTGGTGCATCTTGAGTGACATTTTGTATATGGTGTGAAGTGTGGTCAACGTAAAAGTAATGGATCTTGGTTCATTTTATCTGTGCATGGATTAGCGCCCTTTGTTAAAGAGACTGTCTCTTTCCCATTGGATGGAGTTTGGCTCTTTGGAGAAGATCAGCTGTCCGTAGGTGGATGGGTTTACTTCTGGGTTCTCAGTTCTGTGCCGTTGGTCTTTGTGTCTGTCATTGTTCCAGGACCAGGCTGTGTTGACTAAGCGGCTCTAAGTAGGTTCTGAGATCCATTACTGTGAGGCATCCAACTTTTTCCTTCTTCTTCTACAGTGTGTTGCTTACACATGGACTCTTCATTTCCTTACAAAGTTTATGATGGGTTTTTCCAGATTGTTAAAGAAGGCAGTTGGACTTTGCATTGGGAATGTACTGTGTCCATAGATCCATAGATGGCTTTGAGTGTTGGGTATTGTTAGGTACTGTCGAGTCAGCCCCGACTCATAGCAACTTTGTGAACCACAGAGTGAAACACTGTCCAATCCGGCGTCATCCACACAGTTGTTATTGTGTTTGAGACCATAGTTCAGCCACTGTGTCAGTCCATCTTGTTGGAAGTCTTCCTCTTGTTTGCTGACCCTCCACTATACCAAGCATGATGTCCTTCTCCAGGGACTGGTCCTATCTGACAATATGTCTGAAGTATGAGAGATAAGTCTGGCCATCCTGGCTTCTAAGGAGCACTCTGGCTGCACGTCTTCCAACACAGATTGGTTTAGCCCATGGCACTTTCAGTGTTTTTTGCCAACACCGTTACCCAAATGCATCAGTTCTTCTACAGTCTTCCTTCTCCAAGGTTCCCCAGCTTTAGGGCCTTGGGCTCGAATTTCAACTGACTTCAAAGTCATTGTCCTTTCTATTATAACAATTCCTTCTCTCAGTGTAAGTGAAAATCTATCTTTTGGTTGTTAATTTGCAATCCTAAATTTAATACTCTTATTGTTGTTGTCAAGTGCCGTTAAGTCAATTCTCACCTACAGCGACCCTGTATAGAGTTTCTGAGGAGCAGCTGCTGAGCTTGAACCACCGACCTTGCGTTTCAAACCGACTTTGCAGTCCAGTGCATTAACCCACAGTACCACACCAGGACTCAAATATTCTTATATGTGCCTATAATTATTTTTTATCAGACTCAAAAATGAGAGTTTAAACATTTTTCTCCTCATTATGTCTTCCTGTGTAATATAATTGGTTGTGTATAATGGACTGTTGTCATGGTTGTTAAGTGTTGTCAAGTCAGTTCTGACTCATAGCGACCCTATATAGGGTTTCTAAGGAGTGGCCGGTGAGTTTGAACTGCCAAACTTACAGTTCAAACTAACCTTGCATCCCAGTGCTTATCCCACAGCGCCACCTCAGGACTCATTATGAAACAATAGAGCTCCTTGAAAACTCAAGAATTAAGCTCCTGGAAAACTCTAGAATTTCTAAAGCCAGCACAGCTCCCCTGGCTTGAGGCAGATAGGGCAGAAACAAGCCTCACAGGCATGGCTTCCCTGGCTTCAGGGGAGATAAAACAGACACAAGCCTCCCAGATGGTGTTTATTGTGTGATTATGAACCCTTAACACCTTGTTGCCCTGACCTTGTTAGCTGTTACCTAGTCTCCCTATTAGCAAACCAACCTGCTACTGTTTACTTTTGTACTCCCTGCTTGAGCGCATTCCTTTAGATAAGCCCCTAGACCCTGAGCCAGGAATGGAGCCTATATAAACTAGCAGCCAGCTCCCTGCGACATGGCAGACTTAGGAGAAGCGATTGTCTCCCTTCCGTCCGGCTATAGCTGTCTGTTGTGCCAATAAAATTCTCTAAATTGAACATTATAGTGGTCATCATCCTTCTTTGGGACTTGAACCCGTAACAATGAGCGGACATTTATAACTGGTGACAACGCTCTAAATAGAATTAAGTGGCTTAAAAATGCGACCAAGTCCCATCCTTCTTATCTTTCTTCTGTGCCAGTCAGTGAGGTGTCTGGGCTCCTGGAGAACACTGTTGGGTTCTTGCACCTCATTTCGGAGAGGCTAGCTGGAACACTTCAGACACTTAGTTGCTGTCTGTGTGATTCGTTTCTTTGAAGGGTAGGATTTAACTGTCCAAGTCCCCTAAGATTTCTTCACTTCGCTGTGTCTCCACTGGACCATCCAGTAGATTTAGGGAGTCTCAAGTTGCCCTTGAGTTGCTGGTGACTCACGGTGACCCCGTGTGTGCTAGAGCAGTGAATCCTTCCTTGTGGCTCTCCTACCTGAGTTTTTGTAACTCCCACCAGACAGCAACGCTGTTCCCTGCGGGATCTGGGAAGGGAAGGGGAGAGAAGACTTTGATAGGATGACATGAATCAATGTGAGCAAGGGTTAGCAGGGCTGGTGGTGAGCACTCGGAACTCTAAAGTGGGCATAAAATGAGTCATCTCAGAAGCAAGAGTGGGGATCTCACATCAACAAGGCAGGGGAGTCAGGAGTAGAGTATGCACTTTGCACCCCAAGATCCTTGTGAATTGAACCTTCTCAACCTGGGGTCAGAGAGCCGGGACAGTGGAGCTATGGTGGAGGGACAGCGGGAGCAGAGCCAAGAGCAGTGCACCAGACAGGGCTGCAGGCTCCTCAGCTCACCAGCCTCTGGAGCCAGTAGGTCTGAGTGCCTCTGGGCAGGAGGCCCACTGCTGAGCCTCTGGGCACTTCACTGGGGAGCTGGGGTCTGCTGACTCACACAGTCAGAGCGGAGTGCTTTGGGAGTGAGGCTGACAGCCAAGTGGAGTGTCTTTTGGGTATTCTTCAGTAGTGCCAAAGCATTTTGTAACCTTGTTGGAGTAGGGTAGAGGCCAAGGACCAGAGAGAGGCCTGCCTGCCTCTGCCTGGGAGAACTGTACCGTGAGCGTTTCTGACCCTGAACTGTAGAGTAAGAGAATGCTTTGGGAAGGATGGTTGGTGTCTGAACTGGTGGAGAAAGTGGGAGGGTGGAGGTTTGTCTGACCTCAGCCCCACCTAGGAATCAGCTCTGTACCGATGGTGACTCTCCTTCCCCTGGTGGAGTAAGGACAGTTGCCTCCACAGGTCTCTTTCACTGTTGAGTTTTCAATGGGCCGGAGTCCTGGTGTGGTGCTGTGGGTTAATGCACTGGACTCAAGGTTGGTTTGAACCTCAAGGTTGGCAGTTCAAGCTCCCCAGCCACTCCTTGGAAACCCTATACAGGATTACTATGAGTTGAAACTGACTCAATGACACATAATTTTCTATGAGTTGATTTTTCTGAAGTAGATCTCCAGATGTTTTGTCCCAGGGTGCCTCTGGGTGGACTAGAACCTCTAAACTTTTAGTTATCAGCTGCGTGTGTTTACCACATGTGGATACCACGCAGGGATGCCAGTTTGGGGTAGCAGGAAGGTCCATATTGCACCCTATCTAGAACTGTGGTTCTGAAATTTTCTACAACTGGGGTCAGTAGAAAGGACCCTGGTAGCACTGTAGCTAAAGCACTCAGCTGCTACCGAGAACATTGGTGGTTTGAACCCATCAACAGCTCTGTGGTTGAAAGATACGTTTCCATAAAGCTTTACAGCCTTGGAAACCCCATGAGGCAGTTATATATTCTGCCTGCTAGGATCACCATGGAGTCCTGGTGTGGTACTGTAGGATAAGCACTAGACCACAAATCGGTTTGAACTGTAGCAACGGGGGTTCAAACTCACCAGCCACTCCTTGGAAACCCTACACAGGGTGGCTGTGAGTTGGAACTGATTCAGCGGCACTTAACAACAACAACAACAGGATCACTGTGAGTCAGAATTGACTCAACACTGTGGCTTGTTTTTGTTTCTTTGGTTTGGGGCCTTGGGAAGGAGGACAGAGCAGGCCTCAGGGCTTGGGTGTTGCCCAGCAATGGTGGTGTTTGCGAGTATGTCGCCACCTGCTGGAGACTGGTGGTGTGGCCAGAGGAGACTGCTGTCTTTTTTTGCAGTTGGAAGTCCTCCTTGTTCTGGTGGGAGGTAAGATGACCTGTTTATGTTCTTTCTCTTCTAGAAACTACTGCCATCTTCATGTGTAAGTGCTGTAACCTCTTCTCACCGAGTCAGCTGGAGCTCCTCTCCCACGTTTCTGAGAAGCATGCGGAAGAAGGCGTGACTGTTGAGGACATTATCATCCCTCTGCGACCTCTCAGCACTCCGGAGCCCACCAACCCAAGCAGAATCGGAGATGGTAAGGGGCTGGGGGCTAGGCAGGATGAACACCAGGGGCCTGTTTGTTCTCTCATGCCTGTTGATTACAACAATGATGCTGCCGATTCCTGCTCACAGGTTGGGTGCAAGGGTTGTTTGTGGGCAGAACAGCAAGTGGAGGAAGAGTTTCTTGCTGATTATGAGCAGGGCAGGGGAACGCTGGGCTCCTGGAAACTTCATTTCGGTCTTGGGTCAACGGTCCCATGATGAGAGGAAGGCAGCGTCCCTGGTCACGTGGTAGCACATGGTAGGCAAAGCTGCCAAGAGTCTGCCCCATCAGGGATACTACTTCACATGTGGAGTCCCTGGGTGGGACCCTTGCCAGCTAATGCACCCTGAGGTGCCTGGGTGGTGTTTGCATTGGTTGTTTTGTTAGGTGCCGTTGAGTCAGTCCTGTGCACAACAGAATGAAACCCTGTCTGGTTCTGCGCTAAACTCACAGTCATTGCTACACTTGAGCCTCTTTCTGCTGCCCCTGTACCAGCCCGTCCTGCTGAGGTCTCCCTCTTTTTTGCTGACCCTCCATTTTACCTAACATGGGGTCCTTCTCCAGGGACTGGTTCCTCCTGATAGCATGTCTGAAGTATGAGAGACGAAGTCTGGCCATTTTGGCTTCTCAGGAGCATTTTGGATGTGTGTCTTCTAACACAGATTTGATTGGTCTTCTGGCAGCCCATGGTACTTTTAATATTCTCCTCCAACACCTTAACTCAAATGCATCAGTTCTTCTATGGTCTTCCTTATTCACTGTCCAACTTTCACATGCACATGAGGTTATTAAAGATATCATGGCTTGAGTTAGGCACACCTTAGTCCTCAGACTGATATCTTTGCTTTTGAACATGTTAAAGAGGTTTTATGCAGCAGATTTGCCTAATGCAATATATTATTTGAGTTCTTGACTGCTGTTTCCATGAGTGTTGATGGTAGCTCCAAGCAAACGGAAATCTTTGACAACTTCAATCTTTTCTCCATTTATCATGATGCTGTTTATTGGTCCACTGGTGAAGAGTTTTGTTTTCTTTATACTGAGGTGCAACCCTTACCGAAGGCTGTGGTCTTTGATCTTCATCAGTAAGTGTTTTAAGTCCTCTTCATTTGAAGCATATTGGTTATATCAGCTGCATATTGCAGGTTGTTAATGAGTTTTTCTCCATTCCTGATGCCATATTCTTCTTCATATAATCCAGTTTCTTGGATTATTTGCTCAGCATGCAGGTTGAAAAAGAACAGTGAAAGGATACACTCGGCTTGCATCTTTCCTTATTTTAAACTTTGCACTGTTCCCTTGAGCTCTGGTAGCATAGTGGTTACGAATCGGGCTGCGAACCTCACAGTCACCAGTTCGAAACTACCAGCTGTTCCGCGGGAGAAAGATGAGGCTTTCTGC